TGGTTAGTTGGAGATTAATGTTAAAAGTTAATTTCCTGCACTGATGCCTCCCTCTTCCCTAAAAATGTCACACCACATCTTTGGTCCATAGAAATGAATGCCTATGCTGACAGCTCTCCTGCTACTTGGTCTTGATTTTAATATAGTTTATCTGAAGATCAGTAACAGTAGGAAGGTAGCAAGAAAGAGCCTGTTCACAATTTTGCTATGAGGCCCCAGGATCTGCAGGTATATCCCTGATTTTAGCTGCCTCCACAATACCATTCTAAAGATATCCGCAACTGTGATTACCAACCCTGTTATTTCAACGCAGGCCAAAACATTGTGAACGTCTTTTATTCTTCTGTACTCTAAATACATTATAGTGCAAAACTGCCTTTCCACTACGAGTCCCACATTCAGTGCACTAGAAATCAAGTCACTTACTTACTCAAATTACCTTCTACAAAACATATAGTACACCCAGAATTCTTATAATACTGCAAAATAGATCTTTAGCTAAGTGTGTACGTGTGTGTGTGTGTGTGTGTGTGTGTGTGTGTGTGTACATTGGCTGTCAATCAACAGGGATGTTTTTGCTCCTGTTTTGTGCTCGTAATCCTAATGCTTCATAATTGCTTTTAGCTAGTCCTGTACATATTAATATAATTATATTTTAAAGAAATAGGAAAGTCAAAAATGTTATCTCTATTGTCCATAATTATTTTATCTGTATATACACACATGCATATGAACATGCACACATATGACAGAGCCTTCATTCATACTCGTGCTGTATCTGTCTAAAGAAAACATTTTCAATTACCTGACCTGATTTACTAGAAGAATAAACTTTACATTGGTCGAAACAACCTGTTTAGTTTAATGATCAAATCATGTGCAGCTGAATTTCCATGTTTTTTTAAAATTCTGCTGACATTGACTAAGTGATTGAAATGAATACTGGAACCAGTGTAAAGGTGGTTCGTTAGTAAATCAATCTCAATATCTTTAAATTAATAAATATAAATTGCTATTAATTCTGACAAATCATCCCAGAGAAGCAAAAAATGACCTTTTTACAATAGTTTCACATTAAGAACATCTGCTCTTACGTGGGGCATATTCATAAACATAGACATTTGAAAGGTTTACTGAGAAAAAAAGAAATAATATTTCTGCTTTGCAGAAGTTATGGATTTCAAATAAAAGAGGAATACTAAGATCATAACCAAGTTTGAAAACTGTACTAAAATCTTTGGAGACAGGAAAATAAGAGCCAATCGCATTTCCCTTCCGGTGCTGTGGAGATAAAAGGGTTCTGTGCAGTTTAAGCATATTCAGAAGCAGGGAGGAGAGAGGCCCAGCGCCGCTATGAATCATCATGCTACGCAGCAACAGGGCGTGAGAGGAGCCTTTGAATGACAGCAGTATCAAGCAGATATTTAGGCCCTGTTTGTAATATAAAAGCATCTAGCTGGAAAATGACCTTAACATAGCCCCAACCTGTAATATATTGTTATTGTCATTAATCTAGATTATTATATGTTCATATACAACATGTGCAAAGTTTTACATTTGAAAGTTTCATGTCACGATATCACTTTAGTTATATATAATTATAGACATGTTCTATTTCACAAAATGTAAACATTTCTAGCAATAAATGCACCTATCAGTAACTCCTACTATCTATCTATCTATCTATCTATCTATCTATCTATCTATCTATCTATCTATTTTTCTATTGCTCTACGTATTTTTGTCTATAGAGGCAAACTTCCAAAAGCAAAGTATATTGTGCTTAATATACAAAGCTAAATATCCTTGTTTTAAATGACAGTTATTTTCAGTGGAGTCCAAAATTATGGTCACATTGCTGAAATTTGAGTTCTGTAGACTGGTGTTAAAGCTTTGAGATTTGAGTCTATTGTCAAATAATAATTGCCTTATTGTCCACTGACTAAACACTTATTTACTAATGTAGATATGAATATTTTTTTATTCCAATAATTTTTCAAAGTATAAGCTCATGAAAGACTAAAAAACAGTAATGTAAAAGCAACAATATTCCTCCTCTTACTTCCCAAAACATCAAAAAGCATGGAACCATTGTGATCTTTTCATAGTTAGAACCCTGCTGTTCTTTGGAGCCACTATAGTCTTTATGTGTTAATGAGCCAATCATTTGAAATTTGCAACAATCTGGGAAAAATTAGAAAGTGAAATACAATTGTGTAAATGGGCATGTTTGATATATTCCATGTATTCAGTTTAATTTACTGTAGGAATGAAATTTGAATTTTTTTTTCAAAATTTCTCTTGTGGCATACTTAATGGAGAGAAGAGAGTGAGAACAAGTATATATACGTATGTGTACATATATACACATGCACCTATATACACATACTGAATTTCAACCAGCCCCATACATTTGTGTTCAAATGTTCAATTTAGTTCTGGAAATAAACAGGTTTATTTAAAGCTGACTCTGAAAAATGTAGCTTCTGTATACGTATAGGTTTTGTTTAATTATATATTCACTTCAAATCAATTATATTCAGGGGTATTTGAAAGAATTATAAAATTCTCTTGCACACCATTTAATGCTGAATGAAGCAAGCACGGGTTCATTGGGCAAACATAAATTAAATAGTTTACCCCAAAGCTAGATTAACACCAATATTGTTGCAAAAAAAGCCCCATTAATCTAACTTTATGTACAGCAAGGAAAACCTTACTGCAAGACTGCACTTAAAGTTCCAGCAAAAGTAGCATTCATTTTTTTTCTGCTTCTCTGTTGAGAAAGCTAGACTCTAGCAGTTTTTTTATATTATTTTCTATCTGCCTTTTTATTACACTTATGCAAAAGAGCTAGATATTTACAGAAACTACACATGGAACTACACATGGTAGCTCTCACATCTCTTTGAGTCTACTGGCTACTGGCTACTTACTTTTGTTTATAGTCATTTTGCTTATTTTTATCCATGTTTCCAGCACAGGATTGCTGTACCATTATACATAGCAGAAAAAAGATAGCCACCATCTTTCCAGATTACACGTGTTTTAAAAAAGATTCTTTTTTTTGTCATGCCTTGTTTTGCACTAGTTCCAATTAAAACCATGCATACTGTTTGTTTACGTATAATCTCCATCTCTCCTGATATAGCAGTGTAAAGAGGTGGAGCCATGTGATGGCACGCACAGAAGCACAAGAATTACAGTTCAACGGCAAGACAAAGGTTAACATTTTACATGAGCAACAAATCAGAAGTGCCAATAACTGACCACTTACAAAAATCTGATCAGTGAATGTCAATGATGAGCCTACTTGATTTACTAAATCTCAAGAGTGCGAAATCTGGTGCAGGTCTGCACAGAAACCAATCAGCTTCCTTGTTTTTTTCGTCAAAGCTTATTTGAAGAAGCTGAAGTTAGAAGCTGATTGGCTACCATACACAGCTGCACCAGATTTTGCAGTTTCCAGCTTTAGTAAATCAAGCCCCATAGTATTCTTATTTAAAAGCTAAGACATAGTTTGGCAAAGTAGCAATCTTCATCCTACCCTGTGATACTTTCAAATTAGGTGGTGGGAAATTATTACAAAAAAAACCCAAAACTTTTCCTGAACCAGCTCAGCATAAGTGAGAAAAACAATTACTCCATTAACCCAGTATATTTGAGAATGGTATATATTCCAGGATATAGTAATATAGTAAATTGGAAAACATGTATGTTTCACAGTTGTTTTAACCAGTGTCTCTTTTTATATATCAAAATGCTATGCAGCAAAAAAGCGTCTGAACAGCTTTTCAGAAAACATTCACCTGAAATTAATTATCTAACTACTGCTGTGATACAAGTTTTAAGATTTTCTTCAGAAAATAAATCTCTTTGCTTGAAGTGTTAAGGGCCTTTAATGTTAATGACATAACTAGCATTACTTCAAGTTTATTAAGACAGGCACAACTAGCATTCTTATGCAGGCAAGGTACAGAAATATTTTGTTTAAGAAAAATGCTGAACCTATCAAACCTGCAGTATTTTGTTCTAGAGAATGGCAGCATGCACTTATTTGTTCTTTGATGCATCAGATAGAGATGTCATGGTGCCCAAGTGAATTGATTAGAAATGTTTGATTTTCCTGAAAGATTGTGAAGGGTAAATTTATTACACCTACCACTTAAAATACATTTTAGCTACCCTGACATATCTTTGATATATATTTGAGTTGCCTAAACAGCTACAAAAAATAATATTAGTAATTTTTAAAGGAGCACCCTTAAGTAACATTTTTCACAACAATAGAAAAGAAGATTTTTTTTTTTTCAAAACAATAAATTTTAATGCTAAAGCAGTTATAACCAAAAGCTATACAGAGTTTTGTTAGAAAACTTTTTCATAAATATTGTTCAGTTCCCGGCACTTGTATCAATAATTAAATTACAAACGATAAATATGGCATCATGGATATATTTACAAAAGTTCTTACAAAAGGCAACTGTATACTAAATGGTCACAATCTGTGAATGAACACACATCCAATCCTGAAAATATACCCAACAACAGCTTTGACCCTATCAGACAAGGAATACATTCACAAGTGTAATGCTTTGAGAAAGTTCAAGACATAACAAGACTTTGGCACTGTTTAAGAATGTGAGATTATAACAATCACCATAAAGGTGTAAAGATTTTTTTTTTAGCTGTTAAATACACCATTTAAGAAACTTTCTATAGTTTATTTAAGAAAATAAAAATGTAATGTTGTTAAAATGAAAGAAAAGAGATAAGGAATGTAAATGCCAAAATATGTTTTCAGATCCTGAGAATAGGACAGAATTAGTCCACAGCCTTCTTTAGGAATAAAACAAATCTTCCAGGGTAAATTCAAATTACAAAACAAAGCCCTATACTGTTGTTTGTGTCGTAAATGTCATTACCATCCTGGAAGCTTGGTCACTAAGTTTGATTTGGTCCTTTTATTGAGCATGATTGTGCCTTTGTAAAAAATGTTTTCAGACATACCACTCGTTAAAATTAGGTGGAAGTAATCCTGGATTGTGAGTGTTGCTGTTAGTCTGAATTACTGCTGAAGTAGTTTTGGAAGTTTCCTCACTACTGGCTGATACCATTGCTGGTGGGGTGGCAGATTCATAACCTGAGCTGGCAGCTGGCGATGAATCAGACCCTTGAGATTCATGTACCTAAACAGAAACAAGAAAAAAATGATTACACTCATAATTCCTTTGAAGGTGTCAAAATGTTGTGGCCTAGTTAAAAAGAATTTACATAAATGTATACACAGTAAGGCCTTAGTATCAATTTGAGACCAGTACTGTTGAATTCATAACATAATGTTGAGAGCTACTGTCAATAATGAGGAGAAGTTTTCCACAAACTCTTTTACTATTTGTATACGATATTAAATCATTTGTTAAAGTTTTATCATAAAATAACTAAGTAATATATTTTAAAGATTGTCAAAATAAAATATGCAGTATATGTAAAAATGCCCAAAGACCAAAATTTTATAATTTAAAAAACATGTAGCTATGCTATTTTTTTTTTTAGATTTTGCCAAATATATATTATATATCATTTTTCAAAAGCATATTTTAAAAATAATTAACGAGCAATCACTAAGTGAGAGATATAATTATATATTATTTATAATAATAATAATAATAATAATAATAATAATAATAATAATAATTCATGTTAGTAATAATAATAACATCAATAATATTACCTTCATGTGTTTCCTTAGAGAGCTGGGATGTGTGTAGGACTTATCACATACTTTGCAGATGTATGGTTTGTCTGATGTATGCACATGCATATGCTTTTTCCTGTCACTGCTGTTTGCAAACCGTCGATCGCATCCTTCAAACTCACACTTGAAGGGCTTCTCACCTGATGGAAGGATATAGTGAATGTTATGTAGCTGTAGTTGCAGAATATAATTCCAGTCATCGCTGGTCTACATTTTACAGTTTCGCCCCTTTGGATTCCCCTTAATGAAATTCACATTGCTGGCCCAGACTGGACAATTTCCTTGCTAAATATTCCCATACGTTATCTGCATATCATGTTGAAATATTTAACAAGCCAAGCTGATGTTTAATAGGATGCAAAAAATAACATTGCAAGTATACAATTTTATATTTTAGCTTTATACAATAAAGCTAAACTACCATCTTTCAGCTATATTGAATGATCTTTACATAACAGCAGTTTAAGCAGGACGTATTAAGAATACAGTTACCCATAGTTTCTAGTCAAACCACATTGTCTATTAGGAAATAGAATCAGTTTTCAAAAGTCTAGGCAAGTATTTTCTTCCAGACATGTTATATGAAGGCAGAAATGGATGTTATTCTGCACTACCTAAACTCACTTTGCTTGCAAAGAGTTTAATTAAACACAGGATTCCAAATAAAAATACTTTGACAAAAGTATCACTGCTTTAATTAGGAGATGTGCCAATCAAGAGTAAAAAAAAGAGCGGAAGTAAGTGAAAATGAGATTTAATTAGCATTTCTATAGTTTACTTAACAGTATGCAAGGAACCAAACTGCTTTGGAAGTGAATCATCACTCAACAAACTCTTATTTGTTCATTGCATGCAAGAGACAAGACAACAAAGAAGGAATAAATGCTAATAATATTGTCTTAAACTAATCAAGTCAGTGTTTATTGTCAAGGTTTGATTTTAAACAGCAGACCTTCACATTTAAATAACAATAAGAAAAGAAAGTATCAGTTTCAGTGTAAAAATCATAATGTTATACTGATTCACAGATGCAGGCCTAAAGCAAAAACACGTAAAAAATATATATAAATGTACACACAGGCACACACACTCAAACACATATATATGCTGCATATATTACACATAAATATTCTATAAATATATATGTATATATCTCAATCCCTTACCTGTGTGAGTTCTTTTGTGGATCTTTAGATTTTCAGATCGTGCAAATATTTTCCCACATCCAGGAAAGGGACATGGAAAAGGTTTTTCTCCAGTGTGAACCCTTATGTGATTAACCAGTTTGTACTTTGCCTTAAAGGATTTTCCTCCCCTAGGACATTCCTCCCAGTAGCAAATGTGATTAGTTTGTTCTGGTCCCCCAACATGTTCCATTGTCATATGTGTAACCAGCTCATGCATGCTGCTGAATGTCCTGTCGCAGGCTTTCTGCGGTCGGTTCATTGGTGATTCCTCTAGCCACTTACATGATAATTCTTGTTTGATAGGTTGCCTCATATATCTAAAAAATGCCCCTGGGCCATGATGAGCTGCTACATTCATGCCCATATTCATGTGGTTGTAGTTGTGGAACTGGGCAGCAGCATAATGATCTGTCCTGGGACTAGGCACAGCTCTATAAGGATCTGGACGTCCAAAAATGTCTCCTCTAAGACCTAAATGCATTTGTCCATTTACCACATGTCCATTAGGTGAAGTGTGGCTGGAGCTTTGTTCGTGGAGTCCTGGAAAGATCAGGTGTCCTGGAGGTTCAGTGATTGCAGGGGGTCCATGGCTGGCAAAAAGTCCATGCTGACCCCCTGGTGAGGCAGCATCTCCAATTCCAGAATTCCGATTTCGGAAAAGAAAATCTCTAGTGGAGTTAAAGGCAGCACCTCCGTAAGATGGCACCTGCCCAGCATGGTGCCCGAGCGCGTTGGCATATCCAGATGCCTGCGGGGTAAAAGCTGAGCTCTGGCTTGAGGAGAGATCATGACTGGCTGGACTAAGCTTGAAAGCCGCAGCATGTGAAGGTTCAGCAAATGGATTAAGCCCCATGCCAGCATCTCGGCTGGACATTTCATGATGGCGAGATGTCCCAAACCCTCCAACTCCCAGGGTGGGAAATTGAGGTCCTCCATCTAGAAGCATTGTCATGAATGAGCCTGAGCAATGCAGACTTTCTGAATGGTCAACACAAGATGCAGTTCATGCAGAAGCACTGATAAGAAAAAAAAAAGTTTTGCTTTTATTCCTTTTGCTTGTAGAAATCCAGGAAACAGTTCACCCTCTCCAACAGAGTAATGTCCTTGGACTGATAAAGTCAATCACTCACTCCTCACACATAAACCAACTCAGGAGGCAGTCTGAACTGCACCAATAGAAACTCAGCTGGGGGAGTGTCATGCGAGCCCAGCCCCAGGCACCCATTTGCCTGTGAACTCTTGATTGACAGAGTTTAGCATTGAATATGGCAGCTTCACTAATATCTGTGCCCTGATTGGTCTGCTCAGGTTTAGTATTTGCAGGTAAGCTTAACCCTTCTGCTGCTGCAAGTGATATATGTATATATTTAGAAAATATATATGTGGCAGGCTTCTCCAGCACGGCATGTGTTAAAAAGATTAGGAAATGCCCAAATATTTGTCTGCAAGATTCCTAATTTAAGGATGTCGCTAACCATCTTTCTAAGCATCACAAACGTGTGATCAGTCTGTAAACTGTTTCCTTTCAGTGATCCTGCTTAAGACACTCTGAAGCCACTCACTAGAAAAAATAACAGATACAAAATTATTTTTCATGATTTTGTATCTTGGAGTTTTTTCATGATTTTGTTTTCCTTGTACTGCAGCTTTCAAGGCTTATGTGCATTGTGTGTAGCTTATGTTATAACTGTCCTACTGCTTAAAATCGCATTCATAGCTGGAGAACTAAGGGGAAGTTTCTTCTTCTAATTATTATTATTATATGGTATTGTAATTTAAACTAAAATTACCTCATGCCATATTAATAATAGTATTTTATAGAAATGCAAAGCTAAATGTCCTTTGTTTTAATTTATTATTATTATTTTTATTATTATTATTATTTTTAAGAAATACATAGCGAAAGATTTGGTTTGATTTGCTGTTTATGACTCCTAATTTTTCCCTAGTGACAAAAAAAGAGTAAAGAGTTAACTGCCTGCTGAAGACAAAGAAGAGTGTGAGGATCCCTGTTGTGTTTGTTTTCTGAGTTAGGATTTTAAAACTTCACAGACCAGTTTTATGAGGGAAAAATGCATATGATCACACAATACCTTCATCATATAACCAGCACTAAGACACAGAGAAAAGGTTTTTTTTAAAAAAAATACAGCATTTGTCTAGCAATGCTTATAAGCTTTAGACAGCTCTATAAATTCCATCCTTTTCTGTATGGGAAAGCATTTGCAAAGAACTATAGGGAGTAAGATTGAGAATAAAAGAGAGAGAGAAAGATGGCCGTAATTGTAATATCCTGAGATTTGCTGAGCCCAAAAGTCTGTCTATTGAGCCACTTTCACAGGATTGTCGCTGTCTCTCTGCAGGAAACATAAAATCTGATCAAGTTCAGAGACGCATTGAGAGACTGCTTCAAGCAGTGCTTTATAACTGCAGTCTTTTCACATCCTTCCCCCCAATCAGCCCCAGGAAAGAGTTCACATTCTTTATTTTAGAGTTTTGCAAAAAAAAAAAAAGAAAAAACTCCACCCCTATAAAAATCAGCCTCACTACTAATGCCATGTCTCATCAAAACCAATCAAAATTCATGCTACACATCCAACAAGAACACACTAAAAGTTGAAAGGTGAGTCCCTCTTGTCTTAAATCATTGCATCTTAAACTGTGTTTAAGCCTAGTTTACTGTATGTTTGTTAGTCTTGGTGGTGGTATAGCATGTCTTCAAGGATGATGTAGAGATCTTATTTTTTGGACTGCACGAGAACCTGCATTTGTAGCTGGAATGCCTGGGAACTTGTTTTTTTTTTTTTTTTTTTTTTGATGGACGCAAAGCTTATCCCAATGCAGTTCTAGGCTTTGATGTTCCTTTGGTGAATGCAGTACATTTCAAATGCCCCCCTAGTCACAGAGACTCCTATAGAAAGCCGCAAAGGTTTATGGTGATTCTCTTGTTCTTTCATAGGTGTCAGCAAAGTTTTTCAAACATATCCCCTTTCAGTAGTTTATTGGCCTGTTCCAAAGCAAATTGCTGTTTTTTGTTACCTGTTTATGTGACTGAGTACACACTCAACATTGTTTTGATGAGATAATTCATTAGGTTAGGCATATGTTGTCTTGATTCTGTGACAGAAAAAGGACATAATTTAATTAGACCATCAAGTGAAAATGTATTGTCAAGGGTCTGTGAAGTTCTCCTCTTGCAACCAGTATGGATAAATGACCTTTACTGTTTTCGAAGCCTGAGTAGTAGTCCTAATGTCTCCTTCTTCGATTTTTGACACTCCATAATAGTATACTTTACTTTCAAGTTAAACAGAAAAAAAAACTGCAGCTGAATATGGTGGTATTTTGTGACACTGGTTTTACGTTCCAGTGTCTTCCCTTTCTGGGAGGTAAATTTATCCAGATGTGTGAAGACATTTTCTGTGAAAATAAACACTTGTTTAAATATAAAATGCATGCTCTGTCAATTAAGCTTTTATAAGATCTTTAAAGAGGTGCATTGCATATTCAGGAGCACCCACAGTGCTATAAACACTGCTACTAATGTAGATAGCTTTACGTTTTATATATATATATATATATATATATATATATATATATATATATATATATGTGTGTGTGTGTGTGTGTGTGTGTGTGTGTGTGTGTATGCATGTGTGCAAGCTGCGTGTGGTATATATAGGTGTGTATTTGTGTGTGTGAGTTGTGTGTGTATGTGTGCAACTTTACTATAAAATAAGGGTTAAGTGATAAATCTAAACAAATGGATTACATGCTCTATCACCCATTCATGTAAATTCATATTATTATATCATACATACTGTAATGTGAAATGCCACCATTTATTCATAAAAAGTCACTACACTGCAATAACTTTACAGATGTAATATTATTTTTATGGTATATGATCTTATATTGTATGTATACATTTACAATGAATCATCAGGAAAGAATTACATGTAGCTAAATACATACATACATACATACAGACACCTATGTAATGTAGATGGTCACAATCAGATAGTCACAACATATGGAAGACACAAGTATATATTATATTAAATTATATGTATCAGCTGTCTTTTTTTTTCTTAACATGTTTAAAAAATAATGTTGACATGCCAAACATTGCAATGCAAACTCGGCCATGTATGTAAGCAGGGCCATAAAATGTCTATAACGTGTTTCCCCTACTCCAAAAAAAATAAAATAAATATATATATATATATATATATATACACACATACACATGCATTCATTATATATATATATATATATATATATATATATATATTTTAGCTTCATTATTATATTGTGTGTTATACTTTACATGACAATATTTATGGTTTATGTTAGCTATGTAGATGTTACCTTGTCGTCCTTCATAATTTTTTCTACTCATGATCCACATTAAAAGTTACTTCATATTTATTTATTCTAATGACTTATGTGTATATGACTTGTTCATCTGTATATGTATTGTAATTGTGAAATAATTTAAGGGAAACTAGAAGCAAATTAGACATTTTCATTGTTAGTGTCAATCAGTTCAGTCTAATCACATGTACACTTGAACTTCGAAGGGACATATTGAAGTAAACAGGGCCTTGGGTGACAAGAGAAAGTGAGAGGAATGACTGTTGACAAAAACTTTGTCTTACAAAGAAATCAGGACTTCCTAACAGAATCTAGACACTTACTCTTGATGCTTAACATTCACTCACTGTCTATGGGTCAATCTATAAAGAGAGAAGAGAAAGGCAGACATAGAAAAAAGTGAGAGAGGCAGAGGAGAGGTATTAGTCAACCACGAGACGAGCTCCAAAAAGGAAAGCCTGAGAAATGTCCATGTAAAACCACAGGATCTTTCAAGTAAAATAAATAACACTGATAAATATGTCAGTCAGTATAGCTGATCATTACATCCTTTGTGGTTGGTGCACTGTTGAGGTAAAAATGAGACAACCTCTTAGGCCTACTATAATGTACATGTATCAAATACCTGGTATTGTTTCTGAAAAAACACTGAGACATGACTGATGTACAATATATCTTATGAGTCAAACTTTAAAAGTGAAAAAAAATCTGCTTTGGTGAAAAAAACATGTAGGTAATTGAACATTATGGAAGAATGAATCTGATGGATTATGTAAAATCTTCAATCATAAGGTCGTCCATTGACGCTAAAAGGCTTACGTCAAATCCATGGCTAACATCTGGTGTGTGTTATGTAGTTATTTTGAAATATTATATCTGTATTCAAAGTACACAGGAAATGCGCATTGACTAATAAATACATGTATTGCCACAGAAAATAAACATTGCCTAGTACGTTTCGGTATTTTATTTTATTGATCTCTCTCAAACTCTTTTCTACCCAGTGTTGGTAATGGATACTAAGGTAGTATCTGAGTAAACAGCAGAGTCATTGGAAAATTAGCTGGAATATTAAAGGCTTACACTGATGTGCTAAACATTTTAAATCCATCTAATGTGCTTTGTCTTTTAGGCAGACAACAGTCTTCCTGTCTCAAAGCACATTCTATTCTTCATCTATATGAGTATGTTTCCAACATGCGACAGTGTCATAATCAGACACATTTTCTAATACCTTTAAAAGCATACAATATGGTCTGTAAACTGGTTGAAGCACTGACTGTTGATATCTGTGGTGCAGTTCTAAAACTGACATGGCTTCCGCTCACTCTCTTCCACACGTAAGCCCTGGCTCTAAGACTGGTCTGCTCTTGTTTAGGTGTTTCTTGTGTGTGGTATGTTTAGCAGAGAATAAAAGAAAGTTGAGAATATCTCAATCAGTGATGAGGTGACCTGTGACCTAGAGGGTGCTTTTTATTGTGCTAGTTCTTTTGAGGGGGACACACAGTTTATTGACCCTTTCAGTGGATGTTTGCCCTGAGGGGAATCCACAAGCACCAAGTTACTTATACATAG